TGAAACATTCCTGGATACGAGAGCGAAATTTGCAAACAATGTGACACACGGTTTGAACAGATCCCAGGGATGACAACAGATGTTAAAACCGAGTGGCAGCCCTTTAAAAGCGGCATAATGGAGGCTGTCGCGGAAATTTGCGAATTTAAACGAGTTGGCCTGCCGCCTGGAGGTCAGAAAAGAACTTCATGGTAGATACGAGAGGTACAACTGGAAGTTAAAGAGAAGAAAGCAGCGTTCTAGAAATGGTTTGGAAATAAAGAGCCTTCTACTCGCGTGCAATATGTCGAGGCAAGCAAGGCGGCAGCGAAAGCAGCGGGGAAAGCCAAGGTTGATTCCTGGGAGAAGTTCGGTGAGGTGGTGGAGTCGAATTTTCACACGGCAAACAAGGGCTATTCGGGCAGACCATCCGTCGACTCCGAGGGGAAAAGAATCGCAGTCTGAGAGTCTTGAAGGACAGGTCTAAACACCCTCTTACCAAGGATGATGAAATTCTTCGGCGATGGAAGGAGCACTTTGAGGAACTCCTTCACCCCGAGCAAGCGCAGGAAAACTCGCCTATATAGCAGAAGAGTACGGATATTACTATCCCTGTACATGAAATTACACAAGCCGTGAAAAGCTTGAAAAATGGAAAAGTTGCTGGAATTGACGAAATCCGCTCTGAGATGCTCAAGGCATTAGGCGAACAAGGCATGTGCTGGCTGACACGTGTCTGTTAAACTGCAATGACTGCAGGACAGACACCAGCGGACTGGAAAACGGGCGTTTTAGTATTACTGTTCAAGAAGAGAGACCACAATTAATGCTCCAATTATAGGGGCATAACGTTATTGAGCCTCGCAGGTAAAGTCTTCGAAAAGGTGTTAGAAAGGAGGTGCCATGAAATTGTTTACCTCAAGATCCAAGAAGAGCAGTGTGGCTTCCGGCCCGTTCGAAGCACCACTGACCATATGTTTGCCCTGAGCCAGATTGTTGAGAAATCGTGGGAGTACACCCATCCGGTGTACATGTGTTTTACGGACCTAGAAAAAGCGTATGACCGGATCCCACGCAACAGTCTGTGGACATGCCTTCGTGCATACGGGACTGAAGGCAAGTTGCTGAGGGCCATCGAGTCATTGTATTCTGATAGCAGGTGCTGTATCAGAGTTAATGGCGTAAAGTCGAAACTATTCAGTGTTCGCACTGGTCTCCGCCAAGGCTGCGTCCTGTCTCCTATCCTGTTTGTGTTGTA